TTGTGGGGTTCAGGTGGCTTTCACCTTGATTTCAGCAGGCCTATGAGGTGTGAAGCCGTGTGAAGCTGTGAAAGGCAGGAAGATCAAAAGTTCAAGCCCAACTTAGATAACTAGGGATTTAGCAGGACTGTCTCAATTGATAGGTAGGTAGGTAGGTAAGTAGATAGGTAGATAGATAGATAGATAGCAAGCCCAACTTAGATAACTAGGGATTTAGCAGGACTGTCTCAATTGATAGGTAGGTAGGTAGGTAAGTAGATAGGTAGATAGATAGATAGATAGATAGATAGATAGTGCTGGGGAGGTAGCTTAGTGCTAAGGTCCTGGGTTTAATCCCTTGTATAAAACAAAACAAAACCTATAATAGGATAAGCAAAATGATGCCATTGTATGCATAAATAAGCAAATTAATTGGCAAAAGAAAAAATCTTGAAATAAATTAAACATACCAACTTAATATATGATATAGGTGGCATTCCAAATAGGAAGAAAAGAATGGATATTTCAATAAAGTTATGTGGACAACTGGATAGGCATTTATCACAAAGAATTTTTTATCTACATTTGATGCTTCCTGCCAAGAAAATTCAAATCCAGGGGGAAAAAAAAATATTTTCCAAAACAGATATATAAAAATACTTGGAAAAAACTATGGAGTTTTTAAAAATAATTATGGAGTTAGGAAGCCATAAAAGGAAAGAATAATTTGATTATATATCAGCTTTCTACTTGGTAAAATTACCAAAACAATTCAAACTGGAAAAATATTAACAAATTATTTCATAAGCAAGGAGCTAATTTTATTGGTCTAAAGGGCTTCAACAAATCAATAAAGAAAAGATTCACAACTATGATGGACAATTGGAAAAGAAGCAGTTTTTGAGGGGCTGGTGCTCAGGGACAGACAGCTTGGCTAATATTCACGAGGTTCTGGAGTTGATCCCCAGCACCACAAAATAACAAAATAAAACAAAAACAGCTGACAAAAGACCTCACAGAAAAGGTGGTGCACATGACTCACATAAAAACTTGCTTAAGCTTGCTGATTTAAGAGCAATTCAAATAAAACATGTTTTCATGAGGTTGTCAAAGATTAAAAATAACTGGAATGCAAATCGTTACAACCTTTCTGCAGGACAGTTTGACAATATCTATCACATTCCAAATGAAAAATCTATCTATCAATTCTGCCTCTATGAAATTTCCACATAGTCATGTTCTCATATATGTGAACTGACATATATGAACAAGGTTATTTTTTTGCAGCATTGTTTCAAATATCAATTCCACCATTGTGGAAGTGGTTAAATGTATTACTGTACCTCTTTTAATGGATTATTTACAATGCCCCATGAAACAAGGACAAGAAAATCTTTATGACATGGAACAATACCTGAAATATATTTTTAAGAAAAGGATCTTACAAGGCAAAGCAATTGTCAATTTTGAAAAAGACAGCTAGAAGACTTAATCAAAATAGTATTGTACTAACATAAAGATAGATATATAGATATCAGTGGAACACTATGAACATTTAGTAACACATATAAAGTGTAATTTTTTGACAACGGTGCCAACATAATCGAATGGGAAAATGATAATCTTTTCAACAAATAATTCTGGACAATTAAATATTCATATGATGAAAAGTGACTCCTGACCTCTACCTAATGTCACCACAAAAATTATTTAGAAATGGCCCATAGACCTAAATATAAAGGCTAAAATTATAACACTTATAGAAGAAGATATAGGAGGAAATCTTGGAGACCTTAAAATAGACAAATACTTTATAGGGAACAAAAAGCATAAATCATAAAAATTTTTAAGATATAAATTGTATTTATACAATTAAAGATTACAACCTTCTGCTCATCTGAAGACATTGTCAAGAACAAAAAATCTGGGATAAAATATTCACCACAAATATATCACACAATGAGCTTTTATCTATAATATGTAAAGTGCTCTTACTTACAATCATAAATGAAGAGTCAGCAACTCAATTAAGAAATTGGCAAAAAATTTCAAAAGACATTTCACCAAAGAAGATATACAGAAGGCAAAAACACATGAAAAGATGCAAAATATCATTAATCATGAGAGAAGTGAAAATTAGAGCCACCACGAGATACCACTTCGTAACTACCAAAAAGCTCATATCAAAATCTTTGATGATATAAAGCAAGGTGTAGAAATGGAGCAACAGAACTCTTGAACATTTCCGGTGTCAATGCAGCATCTTTGGGAAAGAGTCTGGCAGTTTCTTGTAAGATTAGTGCTACAGTGTGGACCTGTAATGACGCCCAAAGCCCATGTGTTAAAGGCCTTGTCCCCAGCTCATGGTGGTGTTGGAAGAGGATTGAACTCTTAAGGCATGTGGGCTGTGGGGAGGTCTGTAAGTCATTGAGTGCATGGCCTTGGAGGGCTAATGGGACCCTAATCCTTTTCTCTTCCTCTCTTTCACATTTTGGCCATGAAGAAAGCAGCTGTGCTCCACCATGCACTCCCTTCCATCCTGTGCTGCATTGCCACAGGCCCCAAAGCAACAGGAACAATAATTCATGGACCAAAACCTCCAAAACTGTGATCCATCAACAAACCTTTCCTCTTTATCATTTGATTATCTCAGGTATTTGATTTATCATTTGATTATCTCAGGTATTTGTCACAGTAATGGAAAATTATCTAGCTTTATGTTAGTACAATACTATTTTGAGACAGTTAAATATATGTTTATAGATAGACCTAGGAAACCCATTTTTATGTATTTCCTCAAGAAAATGTAAAATATATGTTCATACAAAGACTTGTGCTTGAAAGCTCATGGAACCTGTATCCATCATAGCCCTAACTGGAAACAACCCAAATGCTCATAACTGGTGAATGAACAGAGGAGTTATGAATAATGTACCATATACCATGCCATCCATATGGGGTGGGATATTGCTCTGCAACAGAAGGAAAAGGATTAGTGATTTATGCAATGTAAGTGAATCTCATAGACTCTCCTGAATGAAGGGATACAAAAACTACAGATTATGTAAGTCTCTATTTATGTGGATTCTAGAAAAAGAAAAATGATTATATAGTGATAGAAATCAGATCCCTAGTTGCCTGGGGCAGGAGATGAGAGAGTAGAGTAGATTTACTGAAAAGATAACAGTGGAACATTTTGGCTGTGGAAATGTTCTGTATTTTGAGTGTTTTAATGGTTATATGGATCTATCTATCTATCTATCTATATATATATATACATACACACACATATGTATGTGTGTGTGTGTCAAAAATTATTGACTTGTATACTTGAAATGTATGAATTTTATTATCTGTTAACTGTACCTCAACAAAGGCAAATTACAGAAGAATATGCAAAGGTTTCTACATTCACTTAACCTTTTATATAGATTCAGAATCTCTCTAAAAATATACACAAGAAACTGGTGATGCTCGCTGCCTCCAGGGAGAAGAGCTGGATGGTTGAGGAAGAGACCTGGTACTCTTTTGAGTTTTGTACTGCATGAATATTCAGGAACTTTAGATGTTGTCAGTTGCTTCTTGCTATATTTGGATCTGGAAAGTCCTCCAAAGGCCCTTGTGTTGAAGGGTGGTTTCTCAGCGTGGCACTGTTGGGAGGTGTTGGAGCCTTGCAGAGGTAGAGACTAGTAGAAGCTGATTAAGTCCCTGGGTGTGTGCGCCCTTGAGGGGGTATTGGGACCCACGCCCCTTTCTCATTCTTTCTGTGTCTTATGTTCCTGCCAAATTCAATGAGGTCAACTGACCATAGATTGGAACCTCTGAAACTATGAGCCCAAATAAACTTTTCCTTCAAGGGTGTTTCTCCCAGGTATTTTATCACAGTGGAAAGCTGACTAACAAACTTCTCCTTCATTTGCTTTATTTTCTGTTTCTGGAGTTTTGTACTGCATCTTTTTAAATGTGTTTTGGAGCCTCAGGTTATCTTCTTTCTCTCTTTAATTGCTTTTTCATATTTTAAAATATTATTCATTCTCCTACTTTAAGATGAATTCCTCAGTACCAGCTTCCAATTCTTTAATTTCCTTTTCAACTATGTTGAAACATATGTGTGTGTGTGTCATATAACATCAACATTATTGATGTTTTTATTAAAAATACCACTTTTCCCTTCCAAGATTTTTAATTGGTATGTTCTTTGTCCATCTGTTCTTTTCTAGTTTTACATGTTTTATTCAAAATTCATTGTCACTGCATATATGCTTGTGAAAGTAGATATTCTTCTTGTTTGCTGTGAATATACTAAACATACTTAGTATAGCCAGACTGTTCAACAAAATTAATTTAATCTTGGTATAAAATTACATTCCATTTATTGCTTTGGTTATTTATTTCTCTTATCCTTTGATTTCATGTGTATTTTCGAATTTTGGTTTGTTGGCTCATTTTCAGTGGAAGGATTTTTTGATTTGGTTTTGCTTTTTCACTTTCCTTCCTAGTTCACCTTTTTCTGCATAGTGATTCTGCAGTACTTTCAGAACCTGGTCTTATATGACCGATTGGGGGCTCCAACTTTCCCCAAGCATGTTGGGAATTCATCATCTGGGATCTGCCTCATTTGCTCTTGCTGTTTGTCCCCTTTTCTCATCTTCTGAGGCAAGTGGCTGTTTTTAAACCAGTGCTGCAGACAATGATCATTAGCAGCTTATTTTGGTCTTCTTTTGTAGCGAATCTGGTTGGTCTGTCCTTGTACCCTGGAGAGAAATGGCGGTGGGTATTAGAAAAATAAAGACAAGAAACAAGAGCTGGGGTCAGGTGGAGATCCTCTCTGCTGAGTGGAGAAGGGGAACTGCCTGAAAACAGTAGTGTTTATTTATACCCTCAAGAGGTTGGTTAATTTCTGCCTTGCTGCCCAGCAACCAGTTAACAAGTTACAATGGTCTGTTTACTCCGAGGAGCTTCCGTGTTCTCGGGCTGGTTTCATCCTGTGTGTGTAATTATTTTCCAGCTTCAGTGGCTCTGAACATTCTTTGTAGAACAAGGGAGTTCTACCCTTGCCCCTGGCTTTAATGAATGGATGTGGCTCACAGGTGAGCACCCTTCATTCCTATTCTCTGTAGGAGATGCACACCCATCCTCACTCCCACTGCTGTACAATGAAAGCCTAGCATGTCCTGGCTTTAGTCATTGCTCTGCATTCTGGTCCAGTGGAATGTTCATCTTGTTTTTGAGCCCTGTTTTGTCCCCTTCGCTCTTTCTGTCTTTGGAAAAGTTCTGCATTTTGCTTTGTGTTTGGCATGGAGCAGGGATGCAGTTTACCTTTATATATTCACTTAAATAAACTTTAAAATGACTCAACTTTCTTACTTAGAATTATCTGCAGAAATAATATCCATGGTCTCATCAATCACCTGTCCTACTTATATTTACTAACACATATTACAATAGTATAAAATGAACAGTTTTGAAATGTTGTTTACATTACCCTCCAATCATATTGCTCAAATATAAGGTATATATGAAAAAGATACACTAAAATGTATATGTGTGCATCAGTCAGTGTTTTGCTAAAGAAACAAATATAGGATAGACAAATGTATAAGAAATTACAAGACTGGCTTATAATGGTCAGCCACAGAGTTGGATGAGGAAGCATGTAGAGGGTGTCTGTGCCCTGGAGGCTGAAGGTTTCAGTCCAAGGTCTGAAGCTCACTGCAGAGTTCCATGCAAGTTTGTATCAGGAGGTGAATGGGTCTGCACTGGAAGGCTCAAGGATCCAAGGCAGAAGCCATGGAGTCTATGATAGAAGCAAGGAGATAACGTCCAAACTGCAGGCAAAGACTGGAGCTCCTCCAAAGAACAGAAGCCAGTCCATCCTTCCTCATTTCCCTTCTATAAGGTCCAGGTGACAAGCCACCCTGGGGTGAGTCCTCTAAACCATAGGATGCAAACAGCCACCCTAGGGCAGGTCCTCTACACCTTGGAGTGTAGCCTTGCTGAGCCGACTTAGTTAAGCTTCTAAACTTCTCAAGTTGACACAATCAGCTATTACAATGTGTAAAATGTAGATGTGATCCACATACAAAAAAACATGTGGAAGAGAAGTGATGATGCAGGAGGTCTGGGCTGGGATTCTGTATTTCCGGTAAGTTACAAAGTAATGCTGAGGATGCTAGGTAAAAAACTACACTTCAAGTAGTGAAGCCTCATTGCCCTTGGGAAAAGAAGATTAGAGGATATTTCATAGTAATTGCTAGTGCTGGGACTTGAACCTGAGTCCTCCCAGAGCCCAGCCCTGGGCAGCTTTGTGCCTTGTTTATGTCTTCTGCCCTGAGTGTGAGTCTTTGTCAGGGTGGTGTGAGAGGCAGACACTGTATCATGCTCCAGATCATTTTCCTAGCTTTAACCTGTTGCACTTGATTTCTGTGAAACCTCCCATCCTGGGAGAAATGCTTTCTTAGGAGAGAAGCTCCTTTCTATCAGATCAGGGCCCAGGCAGCCCCAAGTCCTAGGTGATCAGTTATTTACCTTTAAGCAGAAGATCTGCTTCTGAGATGTATGTTCCTAACTGAGCTGTGTGCCTCAGAGGTTGAGATCCCTTATCAGAGGGAGACTGCTCCAAATCCCTAGTGAAGCACTCTGGAAACAAATAGGAAATTGTCCATCTGATTTCCTCTCCAGTGTTTTCTGAAATAAAATGTGTAGGGCACCAAGAATTGAGTACCTTATCTTTTGACACAAGCTAGTGAGGAATTAATAAGCAGCCACTGATGCTTATTGTCTCAGAAGAACATTTGGGCAGAAAACCATACAGAAAACCAGAAATGGAGTGGTAAAGGCAGAAGTGCAGGTGATTCTTTTAGGTCCCACTGCAATCTTCTATTGAAAGTCACTTATCTTCCTTTTTTAAAGAGAATTGTGTATCATTAGTGTATTTGAAGGCAACTTCATCTGGTGGAATTGCTATTTAATTACAAAGGTGCTGTGTTTCTGTGAAATACGCCAGTGGCAATTTAGCAGTAATGAGTCATTCATGGTGCCGAATTGCAATTTGAAATGCAGAGACATATTTCCATCTCCATCAATCCACTGTGGACCCTAAGGATGAGACATCTTGGAAACAGGAGTCCAGAACTTTCCAGCTCAACACTTAGGGAATGAGCTTTCATTTGCTGTCTTCATTCACCTATAATGGTGAAATTTGCTGTGCAGTAAAATGTCTTGGCTCTTAATGTTTTTCAAAGCATTCAGTGTTTTGCAAGCATGGAGCTACAACAGGTTAGAAAGCCATATGGAGAGAGAACTAAATGCAGGATTCAGTTGTGGTTGGTGTTTTCTTTGATATGTTCTCCTTTCTGTATTTCTTGGGCAGAGGCTGTGACCAACATGCTTGTATCTGAGTAGTGTTCTGAAATCTAGAGACCCACTCCCACCTCTTTAACGCAGAAGTCCTCAGATTCTAATGTGAGAATGGGAGATGTTGGACAACAAACAAAAAACAACAGCAGCAACATAGCACAGCAAAGAATCCCAGGCACAAAAAGAACTTGATTGCAATGTCAAGCTCAGGACCAACCCTGGAGATTCTGATGAAGTTGTTCTGGCTGGGAGCCCTGGAACCTGCTTTTTAAGCCAACCCACCCCGTCTCACCCAGGTGATATGAAGTCCACCCTTTGAGAAACCTTGACTTAGACAGAGGACTGGAATGATTCTGCCTACCATTTGCAAGTCCCCACCTCCTGCTGTGCCTAAACCCCCTTTCTAAGGGCATCCTGAGCCTGGACGTAACTTCTGCAGCCTGCTCCCTGTCTCCTTACCAGGTCTCTGAGTTGTCTGTTCCCTTCCTCAAAAGCATATGGTATGAACCCCTGCCATTGGAGAATGTTGTGCAGGCAAATGAACTTATGTTAGTGACAGACAGGAACAAGGAGTTTTTATGAAACCAGAACTGTGATTGTATTTTATGAAGAATTATGACTTGATTATTACAAAAGAGGAAGGTTTCACATGTGAAAGAAATTCTTCTCCTGGGAGCTGGCATTTCTTTTTCTTTGTTGCCAGGTACCAGCTGTGGGAGGGCTTGTCTGAGCATCTTGCCATTTTGACAAATTTTGAGGCATGAAAGCCATGTGAATCCTGAGGAGCAGAGTTCAGAAAGCTCCCTGGGTTTCCTTTGTGTGCTTTCTTCCCAAAGGAGACTGTGGGTCCATAGAGGAATGTTGGGTGCAGTGCTATATAGCTCAGACTTGCAAGGTCATGCAGCGCTGCAATTCCTTAATGGATGTTTTTAGAAATCGTGCTGCCTTTTGATAGTAAGAGCAGAACTCACAATCATACTAGTGAATCTTCTGAGTGAGTGTGTTCCTGAGCAAATCCAGGTAACACCAGGCTGACTGTCTCCACCTTGGGAGCTCAGCCATGCCAGTTTGCATAGCAGACACATGCCTCTGACTCAGGCTCTGGGTGCCTGGAAAAGGTGGTCCACATTTCATTTTAAGATGAGACCTGGCTCATTTTCCAGCTAGTGGAAATTCCAAGGAAGAAAGAATTCATTTGCCATCTTAAAAGTTAAAAACATAAGAACCGCTTTAAAGACACAGATTTCTTAACATGGAGTGGCATTCAACAGTTTTGCAATTAAAATGATAATGAACATTTCTTATAAGAACTTCTCTTTAAAACCAGTGCGATGGGTTCACAGCACACCATTAGAAGGAATTATGTAAAGCAGCCTCTCTGTTCCAAGTTTTATTTTAAGATTTAATTTATTCCAGATTCTGCAGGAAAAAACCGTCCATGTGACAAGCCTGCTAACAGATGTCAATTTAGTTTTATAGCACATGCCTGCACTTCAGAGTCAGAAAATGGAGATTATTCCTTTTGCCCGCTGTTTATTACACAGCACAGCTTCATAACACTATGCCCCAGAGGAAAGTTGATTAATAACCTGTGGGCAAGCAGCTCATCCTGCTTCATCTTCGGCAGTGTTGACTGGAAGCTTTATTTCATAATACCCTTTTGGGTTAAGAGTAGTGCCAGAAAGAACCAAGGTGACAGAAAATGAATTTTTCTGTTTTAATATCATCTAGGTCAAAAGACAGATTATGCTATAGTATAAATGATGTGATAAAAAAATAAGAATTACTTAGCTGGACAAAGTCTATTAGATTTTTATGGTGTTGATGGGTAAAACAAAGCAACTTTGTGATAAATATAATGTCAAATTTAATTACGACAAGAAAGCTTTACTTCTTATTCACAGGGTCTACTTTTTCCTGTTCACATGGTATAATAGTTACAGGTTTATATGTGCATGACACATCCTCATTCACTTGTTCCTCTGTATCTTTCTCTGCCCATCCAGAGAAAATATTTGGGTTGGGTGACACCCAAATAAATATTTGTTAAGTATATTCTAGATGTAATTTCCGATGCTTAAATAATAAAGGCAAAATGTCAGACAAATCTTTCAGTTTCTATTTTAATTGTGGTAAAATACAGATAACATAAAACTATCTTAACTATTTTGAGGGGTTTAGTAGTGTTAAGTTCAGTCCTATTAAATATATTCACATTGTTGTACATCCAAACTCCTGAGCATTTTCATTTCTGCAAAATAGAAATCCAATACCTACTAAATAATCCTTCCCCTCCGCCTCTACTGACCACTAGTCTACTTGATGTCTCTGTGAATAACCTATTCTATATATCTCATACAAGTAGAATCATATAATATTTTGTCCTCTTGTGCCTGGTTTATTTCACTTGGCAACATGTTTTCAAGGTTTCTTCATGCAATAGCATGTGTCAGAATTCCCTTCTATTGTATATATACACCACATAAATGTTTATCCATTTATCTGTCAATGGGTATTTGCATTGCTTCTAACTCTTGCCTAGTGTGAGTAGTTAGTATGAACAAAAGTAGACTAGTTCTTTTGGACATCTGCCCAAAAGAGGATTTACAGACCATATGGTAACTCTAGTTTTGATTTTTTTGAGAAATCACCATACTGTTTTCCATAGTAAATACATCATTTTATATTCCCATAAACTAATCCTTTAACATTAAAATGTAGCTAAAAAGACAGAATGCAATCTTGTAGTGTGTGCATCAAAGAAAAAATGTGGTGTGCTCTGGTAATGTTTAATACAGAAATCCAATCTAATGTGTTATTTTTGCATTCCTAATACCTAGCAAATAGTGAGGGCTTCATAAATGGTAGTTGGGTGACACCAGACCTTTGGTGACTAGCCCTCCTTCCTTTGTTTCCTTCCTGTTATTTAACTTCCCTCCATCCCATAGGAATGGCTCTGAAAACAGCCAGAAGATTCGTTCATGGATTACCAGCTTTTTCTTTGTTGTATCTATTGATCTTTAGGGAGAAAACAAGTTGAATGGTGGAAAACAAGTTTTTTGTAATGTTTTTCTCATTCTATATACGATCTAATATTTAGAGATGCTGAGATATTTCTGCCAAATACAACCCTTCCTTTTTCCTTTCCTTCTTTTGTCGGGGAGGGGGACTACCAGGAATTGAACTCAGGACTTTACCCTTACCAGACAGGCTCTGCACCACTGATCTAAATCCCTGGCCCCTTCCTTTTCTTTTGGAGCTGGGGAGGAGGCTGGCTGTGGTGTAAGATGAAAATGTCGTGATGTTAGGAAGTGTTAGAGTATTCAGGGAGAAAATGTTCTTTCTATTCTTAGAACATTGCTTTTATTCTCTAGAGAATTTAGTTCTATAAAGCTAGGTAAAAGCCCTCTTTGCTTATTTTCTCATTTGAGTTAGATCAATAATATTTTACTCAATTACATACTATTAATAACTATTTTAAATGGAAATTTCAGTCTTAAGACTTTTCAAGAAAATTTCAGATATTTAAAATACATAGATGTGCAGACATCTTCAGGAAGCTCAGTGAGTTGCCTCTGCACTTCCCTGACCAGCGTGCAAGACAGGCGGAACCCCAGGTACCCTCTGGGGCCTCAGTGGCTGCTCGCCACACCCACAGTGTGTCTACTGGGGCTGGGATGAATCCCGGACATCTTCAGGAAGCCCAGTGAGTCATTGCTGTGCCTACCTGACCAACGTGCAAGGCAGGCAGAGTCCAGGGCACCCTCTGGGGTCTTGGTGACTACGCCACACACACATAGTGCTTCTGCGGGTGCTGGGCTGAATGCCAGACACCTTTAGAAACCCTGGTGAGCCACCCCAGTGCCTTTGCCACTATTGTTTGAGGCACGTGGATCCCTGGACAACTTCTGGGGCCTTGGTGGTCACTGCCAGAACAACCTGCACCCCCCCAGAAGCTGAGCTGAAACCCAGACAGAGTCAATGGCCTTGGAGAGTCCACCCTCACCCCTTCCCTGCCAGTGTGGGAAGCAGGCTGTGTCCTGGGCAATATCTGAAGCCTTGGTAAACATGACCTGCATCCCCACTACTCTTGTGGAAGCTGGGCCGAACCCCAGACAGTTTCAGGAACTCCAGTGAGCCTCTCCAACCCTTCCCACACACACCTGGGAGCAAACTGAATGCAAGAAAGTTCGGGAGCATCTGGGACCCCACCTTGCTACTACTCACCAGCACAGGAGCTGTACTGAGCACTGTGGATCTTCAAACTCTCGCCCTGACACTCACACAATTGGGGGAGTAAGGCTGCACTCCAGGGAACCTCTGGATCTTCAAGAATGACAAAATGAAGGAACAAAATGCAATCCCAGACCTCCACACCACCCAAAACAAGTCCAGGAGACATCAACACAGAAGGGCCTGGAAGTCATACGCCTGAAATTTCTGAAATGATAGCAACTGAAGTAAAGAAACAGCTCCATCAGGCTATAGAAGACATCAGATCAGAAATAATGTCTCAGGTGAAAAAAGAAATGACAACAATAATGAAAGAAATATTCAGCATATCCAAAGATGACATTGACAACAAAATAGAAGAGCATAGACAACTTATGGAAACCTTGAGTGAACAATATAGAAAAGAACTAGAATATATGAAACAGATTCAAACAGATATTCAGGTAATTAAAAATTCCATTGAAAGCTGGCAAAACTGCCTGAACAAAGCTGAAGATAGACTTTCAGACCTTGAAGACAGCATTGCCACTAATGAACATGAAAGGAGGGATCTCTTAAAAACAACAAGAAACTAGGAAATAACAATTCAACAACACAAGATTAAACAAAAACAATGTCAGATTAATAGGTATCAATGAAACAGCAGATGTCAACACAAATGACATAAAAAAACTATTTGCAGAAATAATAGCAGAAAATTTCCCAGGCATGGTAAAAGAATCAGACATCCAGATAAGTAAAGCACATAGAACTCCAGTTAATCATAACTGAAATAAATCTACAACCAGACATATAGTGATCAAGATCCCAGAAACTCAACAAAAGCTCAGAACATTAAAAGCTGTTAGAGAAAAGAAACAGATTACTTATAAAGGAAAGCCCATCAGAATCATGGCAGACTTCTCAACACAAACCAAGTATTTCAGGTACTGAAGGAAAACAGCTTCCAACACAGACTGATGTACCCTGCAAAACTATTCTTCAAATTTAATGGAGAAATAAAATATTTTCATGATAAAGAACAACTGAAGAAATTCATGAGCGCCAAACCAATCCTACAAAGAGTACTAAAAGATATTCTAGAAAGAGATAAAATAGAGCATAACTTCAAGAACAACGACAGAAAAGAACTGCCAAGCAGAGCAAGCAATTAAACAGAGGGGGAAAAAAAAGGATCCAATAGCAGGAAAATAGCATGACAAAGATAAGCCAGTACATATCAGTTATAACCATCAATGTAAACAGTTTCAGTGCACCAACCAAAAGAAGCAGACTAGCAGAGTGGATCAGGAAACAAAATCCAACTATATGCTGTATACAAGAAACACATTTAACTCAAAAGGAAATTCATAGACTGATAATGAAAGGATTGAAAATAATACTCCATGTGACAGGAACCCAGAAAAAAGTGGGTGTAGCTATTCTGTTTGCAGACAATGTGAACTTCAAAGCAAGAGCAATCAAAAGAGATAAAGAAGGTCACTACATACTTGTGAGGGGAAAGCTTCAAGAGGAAGAGATAACAATCATAAACATTTGTGCACCAAATATAGGAGCACCCACCTATCTAAGACAAATTTTAACAGACATGAAAAATGAAATAAGTATCAACATAATCGTAATGGGACTTTAACACACCATTGTCACAAAGAGATAGATCAACTAGACAAAAAGTTGGGAAAGAAGTAACAGACTTTAACCAAATTGTGAACATATGGACTTAGTAGACCTTTACAGAGTGTTCCACCCAGTAACATCAGAATACACATTCTTCTCAGCTGCACATGGGGCGTTCTCTAAAATAAACCATATACTAGTACATAGAACATGTTTAAGTAAATGCAAAGGAATTGAAATTATCCCATGTATACTATCAGACCATAGTGCAATGAAATTGGAAATTAATGACAAAAGAAAACACAAAAACTCCATACACAGTTGGATATTAAATAATATCCT